TGAGGAAGGATCAGCTAGGACTACCGGTACAGGAGCAAGGAGCGGTGTGAGTGTCGTGTGGTCGCGGAAGAAGCACTGCGACGCGCCAGAGTCCAGCGTGAAAGACAGGGACGCCACAGCCTGTGGTGAACCCTGTGTGGAAGCTACACAAGCACCTAGTGCAGAAACACAAGCACCTAGACTAGAGACGCACAAGTCTACGCTAGCAGGAGGCAAGCAAGCTAATTTACGAACACGCGAGCACACAGATCCATCGGCACTATAGTCAACATCAGCATACAAAGCATACTGACGAGCATCATCCATAGACAGATCAAAGACAGGAATCTTACGGGCTAACAGGCGAGCCCAGCGCGGAGTGGTCGCCTCAGGGCCCCAACGGGCACGGTAGAGGTCGTCGAGGCGGCGGAAGCACCGCGCGGCAGAGTGGTCGTCGCGGCCGCAGACACAGGGGCTGCCCGGTCCGGTGAGGCACCAGTGGTCACAGGGGCCGGTGTCACGGCGAGGGGGGCGAGGGGCCCAGCTGGAACTGCTGCTGCTGCGGCCGGAGCTCCCTGGTCCTCCCGGACCCCACTGCGGCAGTGCTGCTGCGGACCCCACTGCAGTGGGGGCCCCAAGGCTAGAACTGCTGCGGTGCCTGCTACCGCTGCTGTCCCTGCTGCTGCTGCTGCTGTCTCTGCTGTGGCTGGTGCTGCTGTGGCTGCTGCTGCTGAGGTCCGACACCCCCGCCGGTCTGAACACCGCCAGTAGGCGGGCCTGTCTGTCCTGCACCTCCTCCAAGGCTCCCTCCTCCTGGTGCACCACCGCCGCCGCCGCCACCACCACCGCTCCCAGCTCCACCGCCACCACCACCGCCTCCTCCACCTCCCTTCCCGCCCTTCTTGCCACTCTTGCCCCGTTTCTGCCAGTCAGCGGCAGAGACGGCAGCAGTGTCCTCAGAAACCGACACAGCAGCAGAAGCGCGGGTAGCAGTGAAAGTGGGAAGCTGAGGGGCGGCACACCCCGCAAAAAGACGGGGGGGCACTGCGTCAGTGGCGGAGGCAACGGAGAGGAGGTTACTCTCGATCTTCCCGAGAGCGGTCTCAAGGAGATCGATAGTAAGCTCAGTGGGGTGCTTCTGGAGAAGCACGTCGCGAGCAGTAGCGAGGCGGTCAGGGAGGCGTGTGACTAACCAGTGCACAGTGAGCCACATGGGGGGGGGGAGCAACAAGAAGCTGGGCATCGGTGCAGGCCGCACGGAAACCGGCGTCAAGTGAACGCAGGTGAGTCACGAGGTCGGACACAGTCGCAAACGAGCCAAGGTCGGGAAACACGAACGGCATGAGGAGGCGACTGAGGGAGGCAGAGGAAGGGGTGGAATAGCGCGCAACAACAGCATCCCAAATCCCCTGCGCAGTCTCCACCTGGGCAAAGTGGACGGCCTCAGTCGGTGGGAGGAGCTCCGTCAGCGCAAGAGCAGTGGCAGCGTCGCGAGAGTCCCACACGTCCCTCGCCAAGACACGACGGTCGTAGTCCGCCCGCGACAGCAGAACTAGCAAAATGGGCCACCCCTACACCAGCAGCAGCACCACCCACAGGTATTGCCGCTCCCTGCCCTCCACTCCCACCCGCATCAGCCCCTGCAGCACCCTTTGCCCCTTTCTTCTTCTTTGCCTTCTTTGGGGCTTTCTCATCGCCTTCCTTCGTCCCCTTCACCCCCTTCTTCTTTTTCTTCTTCTTCTTACCAGTCCCCACCCCCGGAACTGCTATTCCTGTAACCCCTTCCCCTTTACCTCCCTCTCCTCCTCCACCTTCCCCGCCCTCCTCATTCCCATCCGGCCCAGTCCCTTGGTCAGGGAGTAGGTTCAGCAGCAGCTGCTCCAGCGTCTGCTGATACTTCCTCTCTCTCCGAAGGTCCTCCTCAAAACTCGCCAGAACATCCGGATCGAAAATGAACTCCTCTGCACCGTCTTGCAAACCGTCCGTCGGGTCAGCCCACTCACCTCCGTCCAACCCGACAACACCTAACAACTCGCCATTTTCCGCGTCCACGTCACCACCGTCTTGCTGGTTTTCCAAGCCGTCATCCCTCGCTGCCCCCTGCGTCGTTGCTTCCCCTCCCTGTCACGCCTTCGCTGCCAAGGCGTCCCCTCCGTCAGCTGCTCCGTCAGCTGCCTCGTCAGTTGTTCCGTCAACTGCTCCCTCAGTTGACTTATAATTTCCCAATAAACCACCTTCGCTCTCTTCTCTCTCATCACCTGCCGCGAGTTGCTTCGATTCCGCAGCCGCATCTCTTACAGCACTTGTCCCTGCCTGCTCCTCCTTCCCCTCCGCCTCCGCCGCCGTTGCCGCCGCTCCCGGGTCCCGCTTCTTCGGTTTCCCATGCATACTCACAGTCTTGGCTCGACCCTTTCCTCTGGACTGCCCGCGCCGCTCTTTCGCCGACGAAGCACCAGCGCCATCGTCGCCATCGCCGCGTCCGTCGATGCGATTGTGGAGGTCGGGCTTTGACTGGATGCATCCCATTTAGCGAGAAACGAAACGAGTGATTTCCAGTACGGCGAGCGAGACGCGTCAGCGTACAGATCGCCTGAGACGTATCAAAGCTTGTGAGATTGGTTGGGATTTGTACATAACGCATCCCATACGGCAGGGAAAACGCGTGAGGAGTCAGCTTACAAATCTTCCGCGGCTGATGCGTCAGTTACTGACATTCTGACGTGTACATCACTTCTGGGCTGGGAGAGTATGCATTTCATAGGTCGAGATTAGCCGGATCAGGAACGCACGCATGAGGCGTCCACGTCACAGGTGGTTGATAGTTTGTATGGTGGATAGTATGAGTAACTATGCGCAAACCCGAAATGGCTACGGAACCGCGCATGAGCCTGTGTCTAGGAGTTCGCAGCAAAACAGGAACACGCTGCCTGACACGCTGATGGGAATGACAGAAACGTTGGTTCAGAAATGTACGAGTTGGGAAAGAATCGGTCTCCACTTGATTCTGATTGTCGGACAGCGCGCAGGAGAATCCCGAGGCCCCATTTTCTCAAGGTCACACCAGCGGTTTGGAGGGAAACTCGTGGCAATCACGAGGAACAGAACTCCGCGCTGACGCACTGACTCAAAGTTTCTAGGCGTAACAGCTTATTGGTAACTCAAGTCGCGCGAGTCACTCGCAGACATAGCATCTGCGACAATGCCGATGGTTCTCGTTACCCGGAACTGGCGACAGAGTTGTTCGCAAAGAAGGTTCTGCTTCAACTCGTCACGAACACGTCTCGTTGATCAGTATCAACAGATGAAAAGATTGGTTTGAAGTTTGAACACCGAAACAGCCATTTGGGAATGCGTCAGTGACAGAAGTTCCATGGTAGGAGTGAGAAATAGTAATTGGCTTCAGAGTCTCGTGAAGATTGTCCCATGAAGTTTTGGAGGTAGCGCGACGAGTGATCGCTGCAATCACTTCTGATTCCATTAGCAAGAGCTTTTGTTATCGTACTCCATTCCCTGGCAAAAGTTTTTCAGTGGTGGCCACCTAGCATCGCCACGAGTCTCCACGTTTTCGGCAGTTTCATGCTAACTTTGGCCTTGAGGGAACCTGCATTCGCTGGCTGATGCGTGAAATTTTCGCAGAGAGACGAGCATCGTGAATGCTGTCCAGGAAAGTTTCGAAGCGAGATGGCTCTTCACGCTGCTGAGGACTTTGCACTACTGCAGCGATCGAGGAAATTGCCGTCAGTCAGACGCGTCACGGATCGCAGTGAAACTAAACAGAACGCGGCTGGTCGAGTCATGCCTCCTAGCAAGACGAACCGTAAGCGAGTCAGGACATCTGACAAGCCAAACGGCAACGGCGACGAGCCCCATTGCGAGGCCACGCCAAGCAGACGGAGAGGAAAAGGACGATCAGCGGGGAATGGATCTCAGGATGCTAGCAACGGTAACGATCCGCGAAGGTATTCCCCACCACTGGCGGCGACGACGAGTACGACGGCGACAACACCAATTGCGGAAGTCAGATCGGTTTCACCGCAGCAGCTTCTGACAGAAGCTCAGCGCTCTGCTTCTTTTCACGATCCCAACGTCCCACTGCTTGTCGTCGCTGCTGCTGTGAGTGCTTTCCAGACGCCTTGACTGATCGCTCCTCGGAGTGCTGCAAGTTCCTTCCAAACATACATATCATCCAACCTCTTGTGCACACACAGCACAGCCACTCTGACAACCATTGGTCAGCTTGTGTTTTACGTGGGGAATTATGCTTGTGTCTTATCATACTTCTACTTCCATGTGTTCGTGTTGTTTCAGGGCTCGGGAAAGACGTCTGTCATCTGCCACCGCATCATACACCTCATTTCCCAGGTATCACCCTTTTCTACCTTTTCCTTTCCAATTACAGCAAGCAGACCAATTGGTGAATGTGGATATCTACGGCCTTGTCTGATGCTCCAAATTGCTGCTGTTCAAATCTCAACGCATCTGAACTTGTAACTGTCTAGCTTGTCTTTCTCTGAACGTTACACTGCACTGCTGATTACTTGTGTGCCTTTCCTCTCTTCCCCTTGCTCCTTTCCATCCCTCTCCATTTCTCTCTGATGTTCCAGGGTGTCCCTCCCAATGAGATCCTCGCAGTCACAGTGAGTCACGGTACCACAGGCTGAGTCAAATGCATGCCCTCAATGTTGCAACCTTCGATGCCTTCCCAAGATACTCACTACTCAATCTTCAGTTTATGTTGAATGCCATTTACAGTACTGCATCTCTGTTTCATGTTTTCCAAAATGGTGATGTTGGTCAGCGAGCTGGCTATTGGTTTCCCATTTCCCTTTCGCCTCCTCCTCCTTCCTGCGCCTCTTTCACCCCTCTCCCCCCTCCGTCCCATTTCCTACCCCCTCTGATCCCTCTGTTATGACCCCATCTCTCCAATCTACGCTTACTCCCACCAATTGTTCCCCCTCCTGCAGTTCACAAGGCGAGCGGGTCAGAGCCTAAGGCACCGACTACACCAGCTGGCAGCAGCAATGGAAGCACACCGCTCCAACAACACGCCTCTCCGCACTGATATTTCCACTGGAGCTTCTGCCCGGTCCGCATCTGCATCTGCTGCAAGTGCAAGTGCCAGTGCAGGAGTGGAGCGAGGAGAAGCAGCAACGCCAACCGCACTGGCTGTGCTGGCGGCGTCACAAGGGGTGGCAGCAGTGAGTGCAGCAGCGGTGGCAGCAGTGCGGATCTCCACCTTCCACTCCTTCTGCCTGCAGACCCTCAGGCAGTTCGCGCACCTGGCGGGCCTCCCTAAGGACTTCACCGTCTTCCCTCCCATGATGCAGGTCAACACCGAGTCCATCCCTTCCCTTCCCTGTCTGCTCCGACCCATGCTGTCTCCTCCATTCTGGTTGACCTTCGTCAATCTTTTCCAATGCGTGTCAAACTTCGTAGCCTTAAAGCAAGGGTGCACATTCCTAGGGGTGGTTTTCGGGTGTATTGGTTTGGTACACCCTCTAGGGTGCTATGAATGGTTGGCGAAGAGTCCAACCAACCATACGAAACACTGGAGCGAGGGTTGGAGAATGTGCTGGCGAACACAGTCAAATTCGTCGGCGAGTTGGATTGGGGGAACGGACGGCGGAAGGGGAGGCAAGTGATAAACCTTTGAGACAACCCCCCCCAAAGTGCACCCTTGCTTTAAGTATTCCCCCCCAAGATGCAGGATAACACCTAGACTACTCTTGTTCAATATGCGTGACGCATCCTTGTTCCCTGTTTTCTCGTGCATGTGATGTGTACAGGCAGAGACGTTGATGGAGCTGCTGCAGGAGTGGGCGGAGAGGAAGGCTGCAGAGGCAGGGGAGAGGGAAGGAGAGCATGGGGCCAGTCCAATTAGTGTTCCATCAGGCAAGAAAGTAAGCAGCATTCGCTCCTGCTCTCGTCTGTGGTCTCCCAAAAATTGTCCCAAATAAGTGTTTATCAAGTAATACGCTCCTGACCTGCTTCTGTCTGTCGACACACATTCTTCTAACCGTCGTCATTCTTGGCTCAGTATCTTTCACTCAACACTGCACCCCACTGCGTCCCCACCGCACTTCATCTCACTGCACCCACACGACCCCACCAGCTGCACTTCATCATCCGGCGCTTCCTGCACGAGTTTGGCCGCCTGGAAGCCGAGAACGCAGCCATGCAGGTGCTGCAGGGCTCACGCAATCTACACCAACCAGCAGCAGCAGCAACAACAGCAGCATCGGCACGAGCTCCAGACCCATCTGCCACTGCTGGTGGTGCTGTGAATCATGGTGCTGTGCACAGAAGGAGGCGGATATCGTTTGGAGGAGACTGTGGAGGAGGAGGGGGGGAGGGCGAGGAGGATGGTGGGCTGTTTGCGTGGCTGTGGGAGCAGTACCGGCGCCGCCTCATGCTCAACAAGGCAGTCGACTTCTCGCAGTTCGCCCCGTGAGTTGCATTTGTGGTTCACGCCGTTTGGGGTCTAGCTCTAATCTCGTCTTTCACGCCGTTTGGGGTCTAGCTCTAATCTCGTCTTTCACGCCGTTTGGGGTCTAGCTCTAATCTCGTCTTTCACGCCGTTTGGGGTCTAGCTCTAATCTCGTCTTTCACGCCGTTTGGGGTCTAGCTCTAATCTCGTCTTTCACGCCGTTTGGGGTCTAGCTCTAATCACGCCGTTTCATGCTGATCACACATCTCTTCGTCCCTTTCTTTTTTTAGCTTCAAACGCGTGGCTTGCCTTGGCTATGCATGGCGTAGCCTATGGGTATGTTTACCCGGCTTTGTGGCTATGCGTGTCCTATTAGCAGCTGGTGGCTGTCTTTGTAATCACTGTCCTCCCTGTGCTGTGTGCCGGTGGTGCCCTCCCTGTGCCGGTGGTGTGTGGCAGCAAGGCGGTGAAGCTGCTGCACGCGCATCCAGAGATACTCGCATCGAGCAGCACGTGCAGCAGGGAGCACGCGCCTAGCAGAGCCCGCACTGCTGCAGCTGCAGCTTCGCCCAGGAACCACCTGCGTGTGTCGCATGTGCTTGGTACGGCTCTTGCCATCTCTTCTGCTGTTATTGCACCGCAGTCTCCGCCTCCTAAATGTCATCGAATCCCTGTCCCATCCTCCATCCATCCCTCATCCTTCTTTCCATCTCCTCGGTCCGTCACCCAACCATCTGTACGGACTCCACCCCCCCTTCTCTATTATTATCTTCCCTAGCTATTCTTCCTTTCCCCCTCACCCCCTACCTTCCCTTCCTCCTTCCCCCCCTTCCAACCCCTCCTCTCCCCCCCCCCCCACTCGCCAGTGGACGAGTTCCAGGACACTGACAGCTGTCAGATGGAGCTGCTTCTGCTGCTCTGCCGCCCGCTGCCGTCCGCGCCGACCCTGACCCTCGTGGCTGACGATGACCAGCAGATCTACTCCTTTCGTGGCGCCATGGGCCTGCCGAACCTGCGCCGCTTCCTCCGAACCTACCCGCAGGCTCGGACCGTCTGCCTCGACCAGAACTTCCGAAGCTGCGGCTCGGTGGTGGAGGCCGCCCGCCACGTCATCGCGCACAACCAATGGCGGCACGCCAAGTGGATGGTCACAGAAGCGCCAGTGGGCCCGCTTGTCTCCTTATGCGAGTGCCGCACGGATCGGTGCGAGGCGGCAGCTGTGGTTGGCAAGATCTGTCATCTAGTGGGGTCGTGCGGGGTGCCGGCGAATCAGATCGCGATTCTGTACCGTGTGCAGGCTGTAGGAAAGGTGATTTGGCAGTATCTGAAGAGCCATGGGATCAAGGTGTCTTCTGCTGCAACTGGAGGAGGGGGAGCAGGAGGCTTTGGAGGTGGAGGAGGGGGAGGAGGAGGAGGGGCGGCAGGGGGAGGGGAATGGGGAGCAGCAGAGGAGGATGGGGTAGCAGTAGCTGCAAATGGCTTTATAGCAGAGGGGGGTAACAGTGCCACAGCTGGTGGTGCTCGGGGAGGGAGGGGGACGGGGACAGTAGGAGCGGTTTTCCATGATATCCTGGCTCTCCTGCGATTAGCTGCTAATGAATCAGATGACATGGCGTGTCGGCAGGTCTTGCGCTTTGTGTGTCCGCCGCCCACCCGCCAGGTGGCAGTTTGTCTGCGCACGCTACAGTGCGCCCCACACCGCATCTCCCTCCTGCCTGCCGCCCGCATGACTCGTCTTCACCTCCTCGGCATCTCCCGCTGCGCCGCCCTCTCCAACGTGTCTTCCACCAACCCAGGCAGTGCTTGTAACGGATCAGCAGGCAACAGCAGTGCTTTTAACGGATCACACATTACCCATGCACACAACGCAGCCGGCCCCGCATGGCCCCACACGCTTTCACCAGACGACACGGAGGTTCTAGAGGGAATAAAGAGGATGGCTGCAGCAGTCTCTGAGCTGCAAGGTCTTCTGGGCATCCCCCCGCCTGGCTGGTCCTCTCCCCCTGCTCCTGCCTCCTCTGCTCCTGCCTCTGCATCGCGCCCCCCTGCAAGCAGCAGGAGGAGAGGCAGTGGTGCTGGGATTATGGGTCTGGGTGGTGGGACTACGTCCTTATCCGCGATTTTCCACGGAGAAGGAGGAGGGGAGGAGGAGGAGGATGGGGTGTCCTGTGAGGCTTTGGTGAGGTGTGCACTTCGGTTTGTAAGAGCAGTGAGGGGTGGGGAGGGGCGGAATGGGGCGGGGGTGGGGGCGGAGGTGGTGGTACAGGGGGTGTTAGGAGGCGGAGGGGGAGAGGGAGTGGTCGGAGGGGTTGGGGGAGGGAGGGGGAATGGTGGGATGGGTGGAAGAGGGTGGGGAGGTGGGCGTGGGATGGGGGGGCATGGAGGAGGCGCAGGCGCATTGGATCCGGCCATGTTTGCTGGGGTAAGAGCCCTTCTTGTGGAGGCTGCAGCATTTGACAGGGAGAAAAGGCAGACACGGCTGGTTATGCAGGCTAGGGTAATGAGTGCAGCAGCAGCAACAGCATCAGCAGCAACCGCAGCAGCAGCAGCAGGTGCAGCTGCATTGAGGAAAGCTGGTGAAGGAGCAGAAGGAGCAGGGCAAATGGGGTTGGGAGATGTGCCAGGAAGGGTGGTGTCAGGGTGTGATGCGGGGAGCGAAAGAAACAACAGCGCCAACGGTAACAGCAGCAGCACTATAAGCAGCAGCAGGCACATGGTTAATCACGGTGGTTACTTTTCCCCAGCTACCACCCCTGTGAAAGACCGTTACAGTCCGGGCGGCAGTGAGAGCAAGCAGGGCGGCAGGAGGCCGAGCTATGCTGACCTGCTGCTGCAGCGTGAAGGAGTGGTGGGAGTTGTGGGCGGCGCGGCACAGGGAATGGGGCTCGCCCGATGGTCGAATGCTGCAGGGACTAGCACTGCAAGGCAAGCTGAGTTTGAGAGACGGATGGGGAGGCAAGGAGCGATGGGCTTGCATGATCCCAGTGCTGGTGCTGATGCTGGTGGTCATATTCATGGTGATGGTAAGGATGGTGAAAATGGGGACGGAGAGAGGGAGGTGGAGAGGGAGGGGGAGGAGGATGGGGAGGAGGGAGAGGTAGTGGTTCAGTTTGTGGACAGAGTGATGGAGAGAGTGCATGAGAGGGAGCTCGGCGTGGGTGTGGAAGAGGGATTGGGAGGGGTGGGGGACGGTGCTGGTGAGAGAGATGGTGGAGGGGGACGCGGAGGGAGGCGAGCAGGGCGAGGGGGTGAGGGGAAGGGGAGGGGGAGTGGGGGGAGTGGTGGGAGAGAGAGTGAGCAGGACAACGGAGGGGTGGTGCTGAGTACGATTCACCAGGCCAAGGGGCTGGAGTGGCAGGCTGTGATTGTAGTGAGGGCGAACGAGGGCGTGCTGCCACTGGTGGACTTCAGTAGAGTCACACAGGCCCCTGCCACTGCCGCCACCACCAACTACTCGCCCACGCCCCAAACCCTACAACCGACAACAGCGACAACGACAGCAGAAGCAGCTGCAGCTGCAGCAGCAGCACAGGGGGGATCATCGCGACCAGGTGCCTATACGGCAGGTGGGGCAGTGGCAGGAAGAGAGGGGTGTGGGCGTGAGTGTGGGTTGCGGCCCCTGCCTCTGCTGCCTGCCATGCCCCCGGACTACGACGCTCATCTGGAGGAGGAGGTGAGCTGAGATCTGAGTCGTTTACTGGCCGCGACGTCCCAAAAAATGAGACTTCTCTAGCCTGCCATGCCCCCAAACTATGATGCTCAGCTAGAGGAGGAGGTGAGCTGAGATCTTTGAAACGTTTAGCAATCATGACGTTTCAAAAACTGAGACGTCTCACAGTTTGAGATCTCTCAAGCCTGCCATGCCCCCGGACTAGGACGCTCAATTTGAGTCGGAGGTGTGCGGAGCAGGCGCATGTGTTTTCTGGGATTTTATGTGGATATGGATCAATTCTTCTGTGCATCTGCATGTTTCTTCCTCAATGCACCTGCATCTTCCCTGCATGTGCCCCATTGTTCCTGTCCTCATCGCAACAGAGGAGGCTTATGTACGTGGCGATCACCAGAGCACAGCAGCATCTTATGGTGAGTCTGCACGCATGCACTCCACCTTCTCTCCACCTATGCTTCACTCACAGAGCTCTCCACCTATGCTTCAGTGATAGAGCTTACTGAAGGCTGAGTTGATTGTCCTACCATACGCTCAATGTCTTTGCCTTGTTCTTTTCGCCTGGTATCATACTGCCCATTACTTGTTACTCCTGCTCCTCTTCTCTAAACATGCTCCACCTGTGCTGTTTTTTCATTGGCCTAGGTCACTCATGTGATGTCTGCTGCTGGCCAACCAATGCTCCCATCCAGATTCCTCGCAGAGCTCCCTCCGTGTAAGTGATCAATTGCCAGTCTGTGGTGCTTCATGCGTGTACACATTTCGTGTTATGAATTGCGTTCACTTGAACCTCGCGAACCTAAGAACCTCTCCTTGACTCATTAACCTACCATGCCATATGATGATATGTTTCCCTTGCCATTGAATACGCAGCTGCGGTGCATCGCACAACTCAGTACGACGAGAGGCCGACCAATCATGTGCAACAGTTCGTGTCACGACAGTCACAATCTTCGTCCTAGGTTATCATGTCTTGGATATTACGATCACAGAATTCATGGCCTTACAGCATGTTCTTTGTCTCAAGGACGCACAATGGCATGTTGGAATGAAAATTCCACTTTCCAGTATACAGATTGTGTACTGCTTTCGCGATTCCTGAATGACCGATCGCAAAAACGATGCGTTTTTTAACAGGTCCAGTAATTTGCCCCTTTCAATGCTCCCTCACGACCCTGAGTGCCACGCAGAAAAAAGTCTTCGAGATCCAAGCCTTGTTTATGTTCTGCTTGTGAGCGGAGTCCTACCATGCCGTCTGTCCAATGCCGTTTTTGCACACTGATGTTTACTTTCGATGACAATGCTTACGATCACGAGAGGTCGGCCCATTATCCCCAATATTCATGTCCCTTGTGCGATAAGAGCTTCGACTCAGTCGCAGGGCTTCGACACCACCAGACTATCAAACACCCCATAGGAGTTTCATGTAGATTTTGTCAGCTCCGCTTTAATTCTGTTCATCCGCCATTGCTCACGAGCTAGATCAACACAAGTTTAATGTTTCCTGCAGGTTGTGCTCTCACCGCTTCCAGTCGATAGAGGAGGCCGTGGCTCATGAGCTACGCTCACACGGCTTCTTAGCGACTTGCCGGTTCTGCAGCCAGGCGTTTGGATCAGAGGAAGCTGTACGTCAGCACGAAGCGAGTGTCCATTTTCCAATGGTGAAGTGTGGCATTTGTGGCATGAATTTTAACGACCAGGCTGAAGCATGGGAGCACGCCAACGACTCGCACGTTCGAACTTATTCCTGTGCATTTTGCAATAGAGATTTCGGAACCGAGCATTCCTTGTCCCAGCACGAGGACGCGAAGCATCCCAGTGGGCAAATCGTGTTCCAGGGCGGGTATTATTATTAAACGGGTGGTGGAGCTGATACGAACGATGCATATGCGTGTATTATTGTCTGAATACGACCATACTCCAAGCACTTCCACGTAACACCCACAACGATGATGGGAGAGCCGCTAGACAATATGTCATGTTCCGTGTTTGTAGTAACATTCGCTCAACCAGAACAATATATATGTACATATATATCTAACAATATGTTGTGTCATGATCCTTGTTTGTCTGGTTTTCTTCGCTGTAAGCTTCATAGTACAGTGATTAACAAAATATTTTTCTGTAGCTAGTGAGCGACGGTTTTCAGCAACCTCCTTGATGCTGCATTCACCGCGTCGCGGTTTGAGTCGTTCGGCATTCCCCATGGGTCACGTTAGCCTCAGTGCATATTGTATCGAAAATCAGCGCACTTTTCGCACACTTTTTTTACTTCTGATTTCGGCTTGTTCTGTGACACCACTGTCAAAGTTATTTGATGTAACTGCTTGTGGTTTAGGTGTAGTGTATTTATCTTGTCTTCTGTTTGGTGGTGCACCTCTAGTTTCTTGACTATATGTTGTATCTCTTTGCTATTATTGAACCCTTCTTGTTTGGCCAAACCCTCTCGACCTCCCTCTCGACCTTCCTCTCGCTATCACTCTCGCTATCTCCATGGCTCCTAAGTAATTCGTTAGCTGTATTTCTGACATGTTATCAGAGTGAGGTTCCACCTAGGACCTCCTTTCATGGGCCCACCAACTCCGCCGTCATACATGGCGGTTTTTTCTGCTGCTGGCGCGGAATTGCCGGGTGGCGCGTTTTCTGCTGCTTTTGCTGAACCCGTCGCGCTGCCCTGCTCGCCGCGCCCTGTCCTGCCCTGCGCCGTTTCGTCGCCTCGCGGCCCCCCCTCCCCCGTCGCTCCGCGCCGTTTCGTCGCCCCGCGGCCTCGTCGCCCGCATCCTCGTCGCGAGCGGAACCGTCGCGAGCGGCCATGTCGCCCGCGGCCCCGTCGCCCGCTTCCCGTCACCCCCCTCCCCCCCTCGTTACGCGCAACAGCAGCCGAGCGCACTGCAGCTGCGCGCGTTCGCAGCCGTGCGCAGCTGCGCGCGTGGCGACTGCAGGGCGCACAACTGCACGAGCAGCTGCACACGAATCTGCAGCCCTCGTGCGCCTCTGCCACGCTGCCCTGCGCGCTGTTACCCCGCCCCCCTTCTTCTCCCTTTCCTTGCTGCACGTGCAGCAGAAGGGGGGGGGGGGGGGGAGAGGGTGTTGGGGGTCGGGGGAGTGGCGGTAGGGTTGCCTGCGCTTGTGGGGTGAAGGGTGATGGGGGTGGCGGATAATGGAGGGTGAGGGGGTGGCAGGAGGGGTTTCTGCAGCGCCAGCCGCCCACCACCTCCTCCTCTCTCTCCGTGCCGCACCTGTTGTTGTGTTGGCAAGGGGGGGGGGGGGAGCTTGGAGGTTAACGGGGTGGTAGAGGGGATCTGCAGCAGCAGCCGCGTCCTCCCCCTTCTCTCCTCTCCGTTTTCCACCCACCACTGTCCTGAGCCGCCCCCTTCCTGAGCCGCCCCTGCTGTGGGGATGAGGTGTTGCTGGGGGGAAGGGGGAAGGTTGGAAGGGGATGGCCGCCGTGAAGTCAGTTGCTCCAGTAGCCAGTGGGCCGGTTGCTCCAGTCGCCAGTGGGCATGTTTCTCCAGTAGCCAGTGAGCCGGTTGCTCCAGTCGCCAGTGAGCATGTTGCTCCAGTAGCCAGTGAGCCGGTTGCTCCAGTCGCCAGTGAGCATGTTGCTCCAGTAGCCAGTGAGCCGGTTGCTCCAGTCGCCAGTGGGCCAGTAGCTTCAGCCGCAGCCTACCACCTCCTCTCCTCTCTCTCCCTCTCTCTCTCCTCCTCCTTGCCTGCCCTCTCCCGTTCTGCTGCGCACTCTGCCTGGTGTACCCCTTCAGGGGGCGATAACTACACTTCTTCCCACAAGCAATTATGGGGGCGTGTCAAAGTTATTTTATGTAACTGCTTGTGGTTTAGGTGTAGTGTATTTATCTTGTCTTCTGTTTGGTGGTGCACCTCTAGTTTCTTGACTATATGTTGTATCTCTTTGCTATTATTGAACCCTTCTTGTTTGGCCAAACCCTCTCGACCTCCCTCTCGACCTTCCTCTCGCTATCACTCTCGCTATCTCCATGGCTCCTAAGTTCCTAACTCGTTAGCTGTATTTCTGACAACCACCGCCTCCTTCAGCAGCAGTACCAGAGGAGTGTGTGTGTTAGCAGCATCCTGATTTTGACTTCGTCGCTACTTTGAAACGGAACCAAGATGCTGGTTGTTGAGTGTCGATACTGCCCTGGCTCTTTCAATTCAGCGGACCAAGCGCGGGAGCATGAAGAGGAGGAGCACTGGCCCACGTATCCTTGCCTGATATGCGACCGTGGATTTAATTCGGTTCAGGGCCTTCGAGACCACCGGAATAAGAAGCATCCGCATCTGTATTGCTGTCGCATATGCAGCAAGCCATTCACGTCCACTCGAGCTGTGATGGATCATGAACGGATGGTCCACACTTGGAAGGTTCCCTGTCGGATCTGCGACGAGATGTTTGATTCCGTCGAGGACGCTGCGAAACACGAGAATGACTCTCACCCGATCTATGTGAAGTGCTGGCTATGCGACCAAGAATTTGCTACTCCAAAAGCTGCTGGACAGCACGAACAGGACAAGCATACTCCCGTGTTGTCGTGTGAAATTTGTGGAGATCGCTTCTACGACAAGGATCAACTCTTAGATCATGAAGATAACGTACATCCGTTCACCTTCAGCTGCGACATGTGTGACCGTACATTCAGAACTAACCACTCCTGCGTGCAGCACATGGAAGCAAAACATTATCGGGCGAGGGAGTACTGAACCTGGAGTTTTGGCTGCTGCTGCATGACAGTCATGACTCATAAGATGAGATGCTCGCCTTGCCACATTATGCTCCACTACGCCAAGTTTTCTCGAGAATCAACGTTTTGTACACAGAAGAGGATTTGGATTACTGCATTAGACATACTGGTTACAATAAGATGACACATTTTGTATGAGAGCCGCCTGCTGTGCTGTAGGGAAAGACATTCCCCAATGATCGAAAGTGGAACCTGATGGTGCAGGCCACACATCATCAATTGCGGCACTGGCCAGCACATTCTCGAAAACAGGTGCAAGTGGTCTGGTGGGATTCTGTGGTTGGATGTTGACCTGCTGGAGGTGTATGCCAGTGCAGGGCACAGTGTCACTGCAGCGCATGAAGATACCAAACTTATCACGGACGATTGCTGATATGTTCCGGTACCAGATATTGTGTAGAGCAACGTTGTTCTCACTGCCACCACACGTCCAATTTTGGTGCCTGTCACAGTAGAACTGCACATGAGAAAAGGGTTGGAGATATGATACACCATTCCAAGAAAGGGTTGAAAAGCATGATGGTCTCATTTGATTTCACGCACCTGATTCAGCATGATGGCCTTGCTGGTGTTCTTCATGTGGATGTTTTCGTACAGGACATCCCGGACAACCCCAAGGCCCCCTTGCCACGTCTTGATGCGGATGCCATTGGTCAGATTGACGAGCGTCACGTTTACCACCCGCACCTTCGCCACACACCCCACATTGCCATCCCATCCGACACTCCCAATGCTGCAGCAAATGACAGCACGAGTGAGGAAGGCTTGACATAATACAACCAAGGTGGTAAGAGGGACAACAAATCCGGAACAATGCAAAAAGGTATGTTGATCTGGTGACGTTATTCCAGGTGTACCAGAGACTGACCTTATTCCGTGCCCTGCAGTTGCTTCCAGGTTTCTCACAGTGATGTTATACGCCACCAGCTCCCCCACTGCTACTATTGACACATCATCATCACCTGTATACACAACCAGAGGGAAACATTTACAACATCAGCCATCATGACTAAAAAACAGCAGCTATTATTGACAAGAAGCAGCAGGTATCATCGTGCATAGGAATGTTGCTGACCTCCATGCAGAAAGCAGTCTTCAATGAGAGCATTCTTGATGCCGACAAGCTTGAGGCTGTCCGTGTTGGGACTCCTGCTGGGCGAGTTGGTCTTGTAGCGCCGTATGTGCAGCCCATCGCACGTGTACGCGAAGAGATGATACATGGGAGAGTTCCTGCAACCACGCAAAGAGAATATAAACTTTTTGGTTCCACTCCAGTACACTTCAGTCCCTCCTGTTCCCACTGATCAGGCAGACTCAGTTACACCAAAAACAGTAACCCAGTGCTACCCAACAAATAACTCCTGACGCACCAGATGGAGATCCCTTCCACCGTCGTGTTCTTGCAGTGCATCAGGCGGATCGCAAACGGCCTGATTGGAATGGTCTTCTGCAGGGTGTAGTTTCTGAATGCTTTCCAGAACTCCCACCCTTGCCCGTCGATTCTGCCCCCGCCCGAGATCACGAGGCCAGAGAAGTTCTTAAAGGAGAGGAAGCCGCTGGTGTAGGGGAAGTAGGTGCTGGTGTAGTCGGGAAAAGGGTACACTGCAGGGTCCGATGGACCTACCAGCACCCCGTCAATCTGCATTGACATTGAAATGTGGGGGGAGGAGGTTGTGGGGGGGAACGGGAAGGGGTAATCCGGGAAAAGGAGAGGACAGCACTGTTGGACCAGTGCATCGAGGCGAGAACCATGGCGGGAATGACGGAGCAATGGGGAAAACATGGTAAAAGCGGCTATGCAAGTTCCTGCTTTCCCACGTTCTCTGACACTTTTGGACTCAAAACTCCACTTCACCTGCAATCGCATGCCAGGCCCACAGGGGCCCTGCATGGTGATGGGCTGCACGGCATAGCAGCCACCCCACGGCACCAGCACCGTCGCCACCACTCCCTTCTCCACCGCATGCGTGCACGCCGCATGCATGGCCGTGGTCAGCGCATGTGTATCGTCCGCCACTGCATCCCCCACCGCCCCGTACGCCACCACGTCATAGACGCCTGTGAGGGGTTGGGATCTCCACCGCCCCTGCTGCTGCTGCTGCTGGTTGTGCTGCAGCTGCTGCTGCTGCGCGGTGATTGGGCGCGAGCGCCAGTGGGGTTTTTGGAAGGAGGAGGAGAAGGCGGAGAGGAAGGGGAAGGGGCTCTCTGTGGACTGGCTGCTGTCGAGGACGAGGAAGGGGAGGGCTGGGACGTGGGGGGGTGGAGAAGGGTGGGGCGTGGGTAGTGGGGGATGAGTTTTGAGTTGACTCAAAATGCCTCTTTGGATTGGCTGCTGTCGAGGACGAGGAAGGTGAGGGCTGGGATGTTGGGGGAAGATGCAGGGAGGGAGCAGCGGATAAGTCAGAACGGGGAAGGAAAAAGGATGGCAGTGATGGATGCGGCAGATGCGGGCTGGAGAGACGAAAAGCACTATGCGAACCTGCCAGTAGCCCGTGGATAGAGCTCGTAGTCTCGAGCTTGGATAGAGCCAGTGGCGCGTACCTTGGACTCTGTTGGAATGGCGGGAGTCGGAGTGAAATAGTCTTTCCACGTACACGCCCTGCCACGGGGACGAGGGGCATGCGGGTGAGGTGGGTGAAATGCGGGGCAAGCAAGGGAGGCGGGGGACGCGGGGGACGCAAGGGATGCTGGGGTAGGGGTGAGGCGGGGGAAGCGGGGGAGGTGACGAACGAGGCACGTCCATACCAGGAGGACGGCTGCAAGGAGCATACATAACGAGAGGACGTGCGACGGCAGGTACGGCTGAAGTCGCACGTAGTTGCGAGGGGAGGTAGTGTTGAGGAGGTAGTACGGGGATGGCATGGACGGACGCAGAACGGGAATACGTGGATAAGTGACTATTGAGATACCTCAAAAGGTGCTTAAAAGCACACGGAATTAGATTTTTATTAGAGCGACCGAATTTGGGAAGGGCGATAGCCGACGGAAAAGAGACCTCGTCGATTTGAAGGAGTGGCACCTGCAGAAGGAATGTGAGCGACACGGCGACGACTATCAGCGATACTGCGAGCAACCTCAACCGTCGCACGGAAACCACCGTGCGAAAGGAGTAATGTGACATCGTGCGATCGGCGCTCTCCTGCTGCCGTCAGTCCATGTCAGAGCTATGCTGTCAGCAACGAGTGATGCTGGCTCAATTTACCTCCGAAGTTCTGACAGTGAGATTCAAGAGATAAAGGTTACCAAGTGCTAAGGTGTGGCGAGTAAGCGATGAACATCTGGCCTGAGATAACGAAATCGACAGTCACGATTCGTGCACGAGTTGAATGCGAGAGTCAGCGAGCAGATTCGAGGAACCTGGTGACCTTTGGATCTGGCTGCCCTGCTTTTGACTGATGCGAGATTCACAGCCACTCTCCCATACTTTCTGGTTGTACATCTACAACATTTCCAATTTATTTAACTCTTTTGATGATTTTGACGGAGAGTTCAACATCGAAGCTTCCTTTTCGCACTCTTCCGCTCCCAATCAAATTTCAGCGTTTTCGTCATTCCTGTTCGTCCGATCACCTGCTAGACCACCAGAAGCGCAGCAAACGAACAGGTCGTTCACACTGGTAGCCCCATCTGGCTTCGCGCAACCACCAACCAACCCTCTTCACAACAGCTGGCTCAATCAAACTGGCTTGACCTTGTTCCTTCTCCATCACCTAAAGATTCTGGGACAAAAAAGAGCCTCCGAGAGGTGCTGCTGTGCTTCCCATTGCGGTGAACGCCACGCCAATCATAACGACGATGATGAAATTAGATGGGCTTCTGGCGTGCGCTGCTCTATTTCTGGGCCTCCACGCGCTGATCATTTCCGCTCGCGATGTGATCGACTTGACTCCGGATAACTGGGAACTAGACGTGGGTCAGGATACCTACACCTTCGTCAAGTTTTACACTCCATGGTGGGGATATTTCGTTCTCGTTCAATGTTCTTCCTTCAAAGCAGTGTTTTGTTTCTAGTTTATCGTGCCGGTGCGACCGTTGGCTTTTTTGGCGCTTCATGTATTTTCAAGCTTTCCGGTCCATAAAGGCGTGGTTGACCGTTCTTTTTAAAGCGACGGTGCACATTTGCCACCCAAAACCCAGAACCCTGGCGAACTGTTACTGCGGATGGAAAGTGTCCGCACGAAATCCTGGTTTTCGCCAGCCAGCACTTTCGCGCTGGCAAGCCTGGTTCAAAAAAAAAACTTCTGAACCCAACACTGCCAAAAGTTGCCCGTCGCTTTAAATGTAGGTGCGGACACTGCAAGCGACTTGCACCCGAGTGGGAGAGGCTCGCCGCTGCCTTCAGGGCGTCTGTATATGTTCACATCGCACAGGTCAGTTATACATCGACATCTCATCATCCCTCTCATAAAAGCTCGCTAAATTTCCACAAGTACTCTTCATCGCCATCCTGTTTAATTCCTGGTTATCATGATCCATGGATGCGAATGTGGTTCATATTTATGTTCCGGCTCTCCAATCCAATGTTCTCTCCCTCTCCTCTCCAATGGCCATGGCAGGTGGACTGCGACGCACACAAGGAGCTCTGCTCGCAGTTCAGCGTCACCGGCTATCCCACGCTTAAATGGTTCCCTCGCAACTCCCTCACCCCCGAAACGTAAGCGACGCGTGCGTCCACTCCACTCCAGTAAACTGTTGGATTCTACATCTCTGTTTCTCAGCCGTGTCGTCCTGGGTTCCTCCGTGTGCATTTGCTCATCAATATCTCCCCTTCCCCGGCTTCACCTTCTTCACATGCAGGTATACTGGCGATCGCGAGGCAGAGAAGCTGCTGGAGTTTGCCAACCAGAAATCAGGTCAGCCTGCTCACGCCTCTAACCAGTTTGTCTCACCTGTAAGCCATCCATGCTGACATGGCATGGCAGTACCATGGGATAAGGAGGCTATGCTGTCATAGGCTAGCATAATACCGGTGTCAGGCAACGGAAATCCACAGAAAGAGGCGGGTCTTTCCCATTTTCAACAGATGTAGTGCTTGACCTGTCCCGACCCGACCCCAGCAGTCAGTCGGTCCTATAAAATTATATCTGGTGTACATTCCTGCTTTCATCAACTGTCTGCGTTGTGTTGGTGCAGGAAGCAAAGCGATGCTGCCAGCAGGGAAGCCGTCATTGGTGGTGGAGGTGACGCCTGACAACTTCACTGAGATCGTCAAGGACAAGACCAAGCACGTTCTGCTCGAATTCTACGCCCCATGGTACTTCCCCTCCCTCACTATTTATTTCCTAGGTGACTTTTGAGTCGACTCAAAAGTCACCTTGAAGCACGTTCTGCTCGAATTTTACGCCCCTCATGGTACTTCCCTGACTGTTTCCTCTGTCCTCCCTTCCCCCTCTTCTTCCCCCCTTCCCCATCCCCCTCCCGCCCTTGATCTCTCCTCCTCTCACTCAAATGCACACAGCACAATGTGCACATTCCAAAAGACCCCCTTTCACCTCTTTTCTGCCCCCTCACCCTGTCCAATCCTCGCTTCATGATCTATCCCTTCCGCCCAATGCATCCTCCTCTTGCTATAACCACTGTTGCCTCCCCCCTCCTCCCCTCTGTTCTCCTTCGTTTCAGGTGTGGCATGTGCAAACAGCTTGCACCAGTAAGCCTCCGTTATCTCTACCTCCTCGTGATGCAATTTTAACCACAGATGTTATTGTCCTTATTCACGGGTGTTATCTTTCCACGGGAAAGCCGTCCTTATTCAAAGTGACTTTTGAGTCGACTCAGAAGTCACCTCTTAATCACAGATGTTTATTGTCCTTATTCAGGTACCACTTATCCATCCCGACACTCCTCAACTTGTGCTCTGCTCCTTTGCGCACTTTCGCTCGTCTTCCTCGTTTCTTCAATCCATCTTCACCACTCTTTCCCACCTGCCTTGTCTAGAGCCACCAGTCTTTAATGCATGTGCCACTCCAGGGGGTTGGGTTTGGTTCCTCGGGCCATCCATGTCCCTTCTGATCTCCCCTGCACTCTCTTTCCTGCTGATCTCTTTCTCCACTGCAGGCACTGGCAGAAACGATTCTTTTGTGTCGCTAATTCATCAAACGTCAGCTCTTTCTGAACTTCTCCCTGCGCTCGCTTCCCTGCTGTGCAGTGCTGTGCAGGACTATGAGGCACTGGCAGAGACGGTTTTTATACTCTTTTTGAACTTCTTCCTGCGCTCGCCTCCCTTCTGTGCAGGACTACGAGGTACTGGCGGAGACGTTTCAGTACGAGCCAGACATTGTGATTGCCAAGTTCGATGCCGACAAGTACAAGGGCTCCGTGGAGAAGTAAGGCCGGCTCACGTGTATCAGTTTTGAGAACTCTCACAAGTACTAGGGCTTTGCTGAAAAGTTATCCCGTTTTGAGGCGCCTCAGAACGTGTATCGGTTTTGAGGACTCTCACTACACACGTACTAGGGCTTCGTTGAAAACTTGTCCCGGCACGCCGTGGCTCAACCCGCTCTGTCAAACCCCTGTTCATCCATTCAGTGTCCTCCCTGAACCTTTTGGAATCTACTCACCCATGCTCCGTGTGACTTTTGGGTCGACTCAAAAGGCACGCCGTGGCTCAACCCGCTCTTTCAAACCCCTGTTCATTCAGTGTCCTCCCTGAACCTTTTGGAATTCACTCACCCGTGCTCCGTGTTCAGCAGGACGGCTTTCCCGCTCTCCATACAATTTACTCTTCTAATCTCTCTCATCTTGCGTACACGGAATGCACAAGAGTCCCTCGACAACCAGCATTCCAGTCAGTCAAAACAGACCCCGGCACAACTGCATCACAAAAAAAAAAAAAAAAAAAAAAAAAAAAAAAAAAAAAAAAAACTCTATTTTTTTGTGTTTGTACTCCCCGGTTCTCCCATCCTCACCAGGTACAAGATCAAGGGGTACCCGGAGCTGCGGTGGTACCCCAAGGACAACAAGAAGGGTGTGCCGTACAAGACGTCGCGCAACCTGCAGCCGCTGATCGACTTTGTCAACGCCATGGGCAACACCTTGCGCAAGAAGGGAGGACTCCTGGATGACGATGTATGTATGCTCATCGTGCTGGTGGGGGGAAAGCATGGGATGTATGCTCTCTTCGTGTTGATGCTCATGTTGCATGTTGGCTGTGGGGCTGGGCTGCTGGTGGGATGTGTGCTGCTGCACTGCTTGGGTTTGATTACAAGGACTTGCTGGTCAATTTAGAGAATCACCTGCTGCAGCTG